ATAGTTTTATTTTACTTTTTATGTATTTGTCTTTATACTATTTTAAGTATTCTCCTAATAAAATGAAGGGCAAGATCACCTAAGTTTAAAAAAAAAAAAAAAAAAAAAAAATATTATTCTACAGTATTAGCATATGAGTAAATAAGTATTTAATAATTCAAGAATTTAAAGTAAATTATTTATTTAACTCTAAATAAGCCTTTATTAATCTAAATATTTAAATAAATTACATTTGGTTTATGAATAATTACAATTTTATTAGTATTGATTTAATGTATGAGTAAAAAAAATATTTATTGATCTAAAAATTTACAATAGATTATTCATAAATATTTACTTTTTAATTTAATTTTTGATTTAAACATAAGAAATCTTTCATTAATCAAAATATTTATAATAAGTTATATTCAGGTTTATAAATAATTACTGTATAATTATTTTATTAATATTAACTTACTGCTAACACGTGAGTATGAAGAATTAATATTAATTTAAGTATTCAGAATAATTTATTCAAATCATAAATACTTACTATTCAATTTCATTAATTTAGTGAATAGAATATATATTATTAATAAAATAAACTATTCATAAATACAGTATTTACTATTTAATTCTATTTTGAATTGCAAATATTAAGAAGCTATTATTTACATATGTACTATATATAAAATTTATAATAATTTTAGCTAAGTGACTGCTATTATAGCTTATCAGATAATTTTACTGTAGCTTAAATTACAAAGAATTCTTATTTTTAAAGTTATTCAATAGACTATAATAGTAGTAATATAGCAAAAATTAATAGTATTAAGGCTATTTTAACTCAAATAAAAATGTTTATTTATTTTTTTATTTATTTTACTGTATATTATTCTTATAAGCAATTCTGAGTTAAAATAGCCTGATAGTATTAATTTTAGCTATATGATTACTATTAAAACTTATCAAATAACTTTAATTTAAATGAAGATAAAATTTTATAAGAAGTGAAATAAATAAATAAAAGAATTCTATTTTTATCAAGGCTTAAAGTATTCTATAAGCTAATAATAACAGTTGTATAGTTGAAATTAATAGTATTACTAATTAATAGAGAAGTATACTATATAGTTTATTTTAAACTATTTTAATTATTTTTTTTATTTAAATTAACTATACTTTTCATGCTAACTACAATAGCATTATTACCTTAAGAAATTTAAACAATAGTAGAGTTTTTGAATTAAGTATAATACAAAAAAAAAAGATAATAGCTATAGCTTGAATTTTGCTTAAATTAATCTACTACTGCATATTAATTAAAGTTTTTCTTTGATATCTTTTGATATTATTACAATATTTAAAACCTAATTTAAAGCTAAAAACATGTCTCAAAACTGATACTGAAGTTTAGAGACAAAAGTTTTTAGATAATACTTATTAAAATCTTACTTGTGATCTAATCAGTAAAAAATTATATTATTCTTGTTTGTAATAATAATCTTATTTATGTAGTATTATTTTTATACATATATACAAGTTAGTTCTTGTTTTATTTATCTGTGAAGGTATTTATTCTAAATCAGTATTATGTTTGATTCATTTTTTAATAAACTATGTATAATCAGATTTTTTTATACATACCATTAAAAAGAAATCATCTCCTGCATTCTAAAATAAAGTAAATTTTTAGGAATTAATATATAAGAAAAAAGTTATTACTGCTTATATAGACCATTTAGTAACCTGTAGTACCCCCTGTAGAGTATATATAGATTATTTTTTATATAATTTGCATAGCAAATTTTTATTTTTGCAAAAAATTAAAAAATGTTATTAATAAAACTTTTTAAGATTATATTTAAATTTTATCAAATTTTTATAGTATATAGAGTTTAATATACTTTATCTAATATATAAATTTTATTTAATAAATTATTTTAAAAAAATATATTTGTATATATTATAAAATTCTTTGAGGTAAATTCAAATTCTCTGAGATAAACAAAATAATCAATTTTGATTAGCTAATTTTTATGATATATAATATAAAATTTTATTTAAATTTTAGAACTAAATATTTAAATATTTATATCTTAATGAATATTTAATTAATTTTAATAATTTTATTATTATTAGAATTACAAAGACCTGTTCTACAACTTTACTTAAAAGCTAAAAAATAGTTTATTTGATAAAATTTTAAGTAAAATAAGATATTAAAAAAATTATATATTTAATTTATATATAATTTGTAAAAGATGTACTCTACTCTTAACTTTAGAGAACTGTAAACTGTTTAAAATTGACTTTAAGATCTGTAAATTAGTTAGCTTATATTGTTAATAAAATTTTATTAGTTTTGTATATAGGATTATATATTAATAATTTCTACTATTTATAATTATATAAAGATGTATAACAAACTATATATACAACTTTAGTTATTATCTATTTTAAGTAGTCTACTACATAGGTAATTAAACTACTTAATTAGTTTTATACTATACTACTATATTTGTAACTTGTCTGTAAGTTATCTATTTAAATACTCTGTTTATTAACACATATAGATCTAATTTTAATATCACTACAATACCTAATTACTTAAGCTAACTAGCTTATTACAGATCTATTTACTCAAATTAGCTTAGATTCTTTTAAGTTATATTATATCTAACATATTGTAGATATTGCAGAACTAGTTAACCTTAAAACAAACTTACTAAAATAACTTATATCTATTTTATGAGTTTACTAGATCCTTATAGTATTTATATAATTCTAGTTATAATCTTTTATACTTTCATTAATGTCTTATACTTTCTAAATAGTCAGATTTATTTAGCTACTTAGCTAAGTTAGTATTGCTGATTAGTAGATTAGATTTACTTATACTCTCATATCTGAGTTTCTTTCTTCAAATTTCAGATTTTACTAGTATAACTATCAAAGATCATACTATTATATTATTTAGAAGTTTTACTATGCAAGTTCTCTGCCTGTAGATCCTATTAAGATTTATTTGTATAACATTATATCACACTTCCAATGTTTGATCAACTTGATATAACTTAATTTATAGAGTTACAACTTCAAAAATAAACAAAATTTACTAAAAATTAGATACAAAGATCTGAATAATTATTCAAATTTATTAATAATTAGATTTGAATTCTAGACCTCTTATATAGTGATTTGACAACCTAACCACTATACTAAAATTACCAGACCTAATTATTAATTTTATAAACTTGCTATATAAATATATTTTATATAAAAAATCAGAATATTTTTTATATTTACAAGTACTTATTTATAAATTTTTTTGATAAAAATTTTTTTTAAATTTTAAAAAATTTTATCTTATATATAAAATAATATAAAAAACATTTTTACTTAATAGACAAAATATAATTTGCATAATAAAAAAAAAGTTATAAATTAAAAAATATTTAATTAATATATAATAATTTTATTTTTAAAACTTAATATTATAGTATATATAATTTTAAAAAATATAGTTTAAAATAACAGTCATTAGATTTAATATTATTAATTAGCTTTTTAATTTATTTTATAAAATATGTTGTATCAGAAATGACGATACTACCTATATTTATATTCAAACCAGGTTCTGAAACTTAGTTTTTGAATCAAACCAGATTTAACTTAGGCTTGGAGCTTAATTTACAAAAACCAGGTTCTTAGGTTTACAAAATAGAACCTAAAGGTTACATATCCGAACACAATTATATATGTTAAATAAAAAAATAGAGAATTAGTTATTGAGAAACTCCAGAACTCTATATAAAAATTACGTAAAGCATATATGTTTTATACATCATAATTGGTCTTTGTTTTGAATACTGGAATATAACTTCGAGACATAGTTATGTGATCTAAACTTTAAAATTTATATTAAATTTCATCTCCTAAAAGAAAAATCTTTTCTTCTTTCGATCGATTTGCATAAAATCACGGTTTATATCCATAAGTTCTGAAACATTTTGGGTGTCATTTGCAACCTTAATATTGTTTAGGGTAACAGTAAGATCTCCATGAATAAAATGCCTCTTTTTGAGTGCAGCAAAATCAACATTAAAATTTTCAATAGTTTTAAAATAGATTTCGAGTGTATGAGCCATTTTAGGGCATTGCGTTATATTTATATGCTTTTTCTTATAAGTATTACCCTTAATTATTGCGTAACGCAATACTTGCTTAATAACGATACGAAATCCAACCATATTTCCAATTGCCCAATTGCCACGATGATGATTATCGAATGGAAAGTCAGTTCTATAATCGGCATTATTATCAGTAGTATATTCATATGACCAACAAATTCCAGATTTGTTGCTTCCTTTGGTCTTTAAATTCCATTCACTTGTTACTGATTTGTTATTATGGATATTCCTTGCACTACAATTAAGATTTGCTTCGGCTACAAACTTAGACGTCGTTCCAATCTCACATCCAACTTTACCACCAATGTTTTTGCTTGTCTCTTTACCTTTTGAACATTCAGTCTCTTGGTTGGATAGTAATGGTTCGTAAGCATTCTCTGGCATAATCGCACCAACTTTGCTTGGATTTGGAGAAACACTAATTTCAATAGAATCAAAAATATAGGCAATAGCTTTCCCATTAAGTAATTTCCATTGTCTACTGAGCGGCTCATCCATTCTACAATCAAATAACCAAACCTCAAACTTAATACTCTGCTCATTATTTTTATTAGAAATGTTTGCCCAGACGCGAGCATTTATGCTGAATTCTTGTTCAATTTCTGGAATAGTGTTTGCAACTTTGGCTACTGCCGTAGAGGCAACTAAAAGATACTTATTATCGTCGTCTTTGCTAGAATCTTTATATTCATCATCATTGCTTTTTTTGCTGCTTCCTTTACCGTTTCTTCTACTGCTTCCGTCACCATTTTTTTCACTGGCCTCACCGCTATTTTTTTCATTTGATCCTTTGTCTTCACGATTATTTTCTTTATTATTTCTGTTATAATCCTTTTGCCCGCTGTCATCATCATTCCTTTTATCTTTAGGTTCATTTTTATCGCCAGATTGCTGTGTTTTATAGCCAAAACTATTGCTGTCATCAGTATCCAGATGTATCACCACAATTTCAAATTCATTATCGAAGATATTTGAAAGCTTTTCGATATCTTCATCAATGAGAGACCCATTAACCCAGCAAGCAATGTTTGGTATAGTACAACCTTGTTGAAAATCAGGACCTATAGCATACACTTGATTAGGGTTTAGTATACCTTCAATATCATTTTTATGTTTTTCTAACAATGAGATAAGCCTTTTAACTCCGTTATACGAGGTGGCTGATGTACCAGGTGAGATTGTCGAGCGAACAGTGATAAATTCTAAAAATAGTTGTACGATTAGTGTCAATCAATGAAAAAAAAAAAGGCAGTATATTACCATTGTCAATAATAATAGAAGGTTCAGGAAACAGTATGTGACTAAAAATACCCAAACCATCAACATTTATATCAGGGTCAGCACTAACAGCTATAAAAAAAAAACAGCTTTGAGAAAAGCTATTACTAATTAAAAAAAAGGTAGTATGAGGATATAAACCTTCATCTGCATCAAATTGAGTTAGCTTAGATTTATCCATGCCGGGGTCATCACTTGTTCAATTTGGTTTAGATGACGTGCTGAGTTAGTTTGTATTACTGCACTGTAAAAATTCCGTTACTGAACTTCTATACATACCGTCTAATAGTTTAATCCGTAAGTGAAGGAACAGGAAAGGGAATTCTAATACCGATAGATTTATAAATAAACTTTATACATACTTCCTGGTAGTTTAATACGTAAGTGAAGGAATAGAAAGGTTTATACAATTCAATAGTGATAAAATATGACTTTGTTTATAAATAAACTTTACGCACACCCTGGTAGTTTAATACGTAAGTGAAAGAATAGAAAGGTTAATATACAATTCTAATAGCGATAAAATATGACTTTTTTTTATAAATAAACTTTATACATACTTCCTGGTAGTTTAATACGTAAATGAAGGAACAGAAAGGTAATATTTTAATAAACAATTCTAATAATGATAAAATATGTAGACCTTTTTATAAATAAACTCTATACATACTCCCTGGTAGTTGAATACGTAAGCGAAGGAATAGAAAGGTTATTTTAATAAACAATTTTAATAATGGTAAAATGTAGACCTTTTTATAAATAAACTATATACATACATTCTGGTAGTTTAATGCGTAATTAAAGGAATAGAAAGATATTTTAATAAACAATTCTAATAATGATAAAATGTGTAGACCTTTTTATAAATAAACTCTATACATACTCCCTGATAGTTTAATACATAAGTGAAGGAATAGAAAGGTAATATTTTAAAAAACAATTCTAATAATAAAATGTGTAAACCTTTTTATAAATAAACTCTATACATACAAACTAGTAGTTTAATATATAAGTAAGGAATAGAAAGGTTAATATACAATTTTAATAGCGATAAAATATGACTTTTTTTATAAATAAACTCTATACATACTAACTGGTATTTAATACGTAAGTGAAAGAATAGAAAGGTGATATTTTAATAAACAATTCTAATAATGATAAAATATGTAGACCTTTTTATAAATAAACTCTATACATACGAACTAGTAGTTTAATACGTAAGTGAGGAATAGAAAAGTTAATATACAATTTTAATAGCGATAAAATATGACTTTTTTATAAATAAACTCTATACATACTTCCTAGTAGTTTAATACATAAGTGAAGGAAAAGAAAGGTATTTTAATAAACAATTCTAATAATGATAAAATATGTAGATCTTATAAATAAACTCTATATATACTTTCTGGTAGTTTAATACGTAAGTGAAGGAATAGAAAGGTAATATTTTAATATATAATTCTAATAGCGATAAAATATGTAGACCTTTTTTTATAAATAAACTCTAAATATACAAATTTATGGAAGATTTTTTTTGTTCTTGTTCTTCAGTGTTATTAGAAAGAGAACCAGTAGTAGCATCTTTAGCAATTTTTGCTGGTGCAGCTGTCGAAGCTTTTCTTGTTTGTTGTTGTGACATTAGTATTTTGGTGTTGAGTATTGAAAAAAAAAAAATTTGAGCAGAAAGAATTGAGTTAAAAAAATCATATATCGATATATATAAAAAACAAAGTTCAAATATATTGAGCATTTGGTGTTTAAGTTCCTATACACATGGGGATTTAGTGTACAAATACAATTAAACATACTGTGATTGGCTAATTTTTGTTTGATTTTTGATTGGCTAATAGGACTAAAGTAAATATCGCAATAGGAAATATATATATTGTGATATGTCGGTCGATACTAGACGCTAGTACATATCTGCAATCGCATAATCTGCGCATAAACTCAACACATATTGGTATCGGAGGATTTAGAAAAAGTATATAGTGATTTAATATAAATTACGAGCAGGTCAGTCGGGGAGTTATAGAAGAAAAAACCAGGTGAAATTTTTGCAAAATTAGAGTGCATAGTTTTGCATTTTCAACATAAATCAAAAAAATGATCACATAATTTCGCATAAAACGAATTGTAATGCATGCAGAATTTTGGGTCTGCTGCTGCAGAAAATAAGGAGCCCTAGACAACACTAATCTACTAGTTCTACGGGCTCATGGTCAGACTTTCGTATGATATCTACGGGTGGTTTAATCGTTATAGGAAGATATTTGTCTAATTGGTTAATTTTTGTCAATTTACCTGTGATTACTCTTGATAATTAACCAATCAAATTATATTATTTTAATATTCAACGTTTTGCTATATTATATAGAAAACAAGAGAATATACTGATACTAGTATATACAAAAGAAACAAAATTTTAGCTTATATTACTAAAACATATTACAAGAAATAATATCTTTCACCAAAACTAAGTCTATAATATGTTTTATTATCAATAAACTCAAATCTACTACTCATGATCAATAGATCCAAAAACATTACAAGAATCAAAAAACCCAAATATAAATTTGATTTTTTTATTGTAACAAATTTGCATCTTAAGGTCTGGTAATCTTAGTGTAGTGGTTAGGTTGCCAGACCATCATACAAGAGGTCTGGAGTTCAAATCCTACTGTCAATGAATTTGAATAATTACTCAGATCTTTGTACTCAACTTACAGTAAATTCTGTTTATTTTTGAGATTGTAATTCTGTAAATCATGTTGTACTAATATCATTTGGATATTAGAAGTATGATAAGGCATTTGAAGAGATATAATATTACACAAATAAATCTTAATAGGATTTATGAGTAGGGGACTTACATAGTAGAAATTCTGAGTTAGTGAAGTAGTATAGCTTTCAATAGTTATACTAGCTAACACTTGATTCTGAAAAGAAACTGTTGCTTTGAAAATATAGATCAAGTAAAGTACGAGTAAGTCTATTTTACAAGAAGAATTAGCAACACTAATCTGATTTAACAGCTAACTGAATTAGGAAGATCTACTTCATAAAATATCTAAAAAATTAGCAAACAGAAAACTAGTAAAAAGTTACAGTAGAAACTAGGATTGTATGAATATCTACAAGGGTTTAAACTAGATAAATTTATAAAATATGTATAGACTACTCTAGTAGGTATATTTTGAGATTAACTAGAACTTAGTATGCTCACAATATGTTGAGTGAAAATATCCTAAAAAGACCTAAGCTAAAATTAATAAATAGATCTAAAACAAGCTAGTTAGCTTAAGCAGTTAGATATTATAGTAATGTTAGTTTGTAATAGTATGAGTTAGTTAAACAGAATGTTTAAATAAATAACTTACAAGTAGATTATAGGTATAGTAGCATAGTGTAGAACTAATCAGATAGTCTATTATCTATACAATAAACTATTTAAATTAGATAATAACTAAAGTTGTACATATAGCTTGTTATATACTCTTAATATAATTACAAACTATCCCTTAATCTGTAGGCTATTTCCAAGCAAATTTGCCTGGAAAATTTGTATAATACTGCTATGATCTATATTTTTATAAAATTAAAATATTCAAACAAAAATTTTTTTAATAATAT